GAGTTTGTGAAACACTGATACCCCGTATGGTAACATAGCAAAGTTAAACTTTCTCAAATGCAAATCAGATTTGGTGGTACGCAAAGTTCTTTACATCCAAATTCAATCGAAATATAAGTCACAAGCATCTTTTCAAAAGTTATATGTTGGAGTTTGTTTAAAGGTAGATCAAACCCTTCAAAGGATTTTAAAGAAAGTCAAAGTTTGTTACATGTATGAAAAAGGAGGTTCAAAAATTATGGTCAAGGTTAAAGTTTTTAAAAAGTAGGTCAAACTCCAAGATCAAAGGGTCAAAGTTCTTTACATCCAATGAAAGGTCTTGTCACAAGGATTAAATATGTGAAGTATAAGAGTCCTAACCCTTCAGAAGTTAAAGTCAAAGTTTGTTTTTAAAAAGGAGGTCAAACTCCAGGGTCAAAGTAAAAGGGTCAAAGTTCTTGGTATCAAATGAAAGGTCTTTTCACTGGAATTTCATATATATAGTATAGTATAGTATTTGAAAGTTATGACCTACGTTTAAGTTTTTTTTTAATTTAAAAAAAAAACAGACTAAATATGAACCAGTCCGGTGTCATCTAGCTTAAAAGGTCAAACTTAATTGTTGGTATCCAATGAAAGGTCTTGACACAAATAATACATATTTGAAGGATGAATTTCCTAGTCATAACCATTCAAAAGTTATGGCGAAAGTAAAACTTTGGAATTTTTTAGTAAAATTGTTTCAAACTCCAAGATCAAGGCCAAAGGTCAAATTTGGTAGTACACATAGAAAGGTCTTTAAAAGGAATACACATGTGAAATATGAAAGTGATAGCTCCACTAAATCAAAAGATATGGGCAAGGTTAAAGTTTTTGCGGACAAACAGATAAACAGACAGACAGAGAGGAAGACACCATCTTTTTGATTACAAAAGTTATTTGAGTCTTTGATGAAGATTTAGACAGGTAGTTTGATCAACAGCTCACTGTCAAATGAAGAAGAACATCTACGCTGACACATTTAAAGGGGCATGGACACGGTTTCAACTGAATTCTTAAAACCAATTTACAATTTCTAACTAAAGCATCATCTAATGATCAGCAAAAAATTAAACACCATTTGTTTATTAATAAACGAACTTAAAAATTATAATGTAATGAAGTTAAAGTTTTTGTTTACAAAAGTAGAAAATTTCATATCTATAACAAAATGAAGTTCAAAATCAAAGTTCTTGAATTAGAATTTACTTCAATTGAAATTATCTGCTTTGAACAAGGATATATTAATATTTCAACCTATGTAAACAAAAACATGACACCTTGTTTAGAAGTTAAAGTCAAAGTTTGTTTTTAAAAAGGAGGTCACATTTTTGATGATCATAAGAAGGTCAATCAATTATAAAAATGTCAATGTATTTTTAGTAAACTGTGTCCAATGATAAAGGTCTTTTCACTGGAATTTCATATATATACATGTAGTATAAAAGACCTAGCCCGTATCATTTGAAAGTTATGACCTAGGTTAAAGTTTTTTTTAAAATACATAAATCTCCAAGGTCAAAAGGTTTTAAAGTTTTTTAATCGTTGAAATGTTTATTTATTATTGAACAAATTTCTAATTTTGCACACAAATAAAAAAATATATATTTTTTTATATACTTGACTTAATTTCAACATGAATATTTTGACTTAAGCTTAAGACGTTTCATGATCTTTCAAAATGTTTTTATATTTCATTACCGTTTTTAAAGTATATATTTTTAAAATTTAGAACTCACTCTCTACTTCCAATGTTTTATATTTCATACATGGTATATATTTTTAAAATGAACTCACTGTCTACTGAGGTTCCATTTCAGTGGATTATCCGCATCTAAAAGAAATCACCTTTCATTTAATGGCATTCTGTTTAGGAAAATTTTAAGAATTTATTTCATAGGCATAATTGAATCACATCTTGTTTTTTTAACGTGTATAAGCTTTTTGAAGACTTTTTAAGCTAATCTCTTTCAATTCAAATTGGCAAGCAGCAAAAACTAAATTCCTGCCAGTCAAAAGACATTATAATTTGAAACTGGACAACAGTATAAATAATTGAATTCTTACAGTAGCCTCGTTGTGAGTGCTGGGTGAATGAGTCCACTTTCAGCTCGTACAAGGTGTGGCTGTCACTATGGTTGACATCTCGAATTTGAAACTTTAAAAAAGAGGGAAATCACTTTTTGTAAGTTTCAAATCACTTAACAGTTTTTATGTGTAATTGAAAAAATAAATCAATATAAATGCGCATTTAAAAAAAAAAAACTCTGAAGTTCATCTTTTTTTAATCAATTTAATCCCCCCGGGCCATTAGCTTACCCTTATGACAGTGGTGATATTATGCATCCCCAGAGTATCCGTGGTAGAGGAGTAGGTGTAGTGATGTGTATAGCCGGGCTCGAAAAAGTAGCCCCCTGTTACATCCACGGTCACCCATAGACACAGGTAAAGTAAAAGCGAACCGGCCGCCATCACGGCCAGAACAGATCTACCTGGATTTCACACTATCTCGCATATGTACGTAGGTTGCTAAGGGATTATGTTTTGGGGCGAAGGAGGAAGTTCTTCGTCCGAGTCAATGTTTCGTCTCCAATACCGAAGAGATGTCAACCATCTGTGATAACCTTGTTTGTAGGTATTGATTATCGTACCCTTTTTGTGTCATGTTGAAAGATTTTGGCCCCCATGACACTCAGAAATTAGATAAAAGCAAACATCTATTCAGATATGTCTCTTTATTGGAAAACTGTAAATCAAACAAATAGAAAAAAATCTAGAAACAGAGGGATTCAAAAACTGATTAGCAAATCAGAAAGAAACACAAATTCCTTTATCTTTGACTGTTCAAAGAACTTAACTAAAGGGTATATTTATTCAATCAAACATATTGCACAATACTGATAAGATACATGTACTGAGTATTTGAGCATGAAAAATTAAATGCATACCCTCAGTTCCTATTGACAGTTTTAAAATCATTTTTGAAAAATGAATAAAATTGATGTTATCAGTTTGATCTATACATAGCTATCACATGTATCTTAAATAACCTTTTTTAATTACTTGGGCTATAAGAAGAAACACTCACTAGGATAATTTGAACCCATTGTGTGATTTCTTTTGGAAACATCTCAGAGTAAGTTTTCCGTAAGAGAAATCCTATTTTAAAACCATATTTTGGGCGGCGGGAGAAGGGTTCAGAGAGAAAACCCTTCTCTGCATAAGCTTTCGGTTATTCAGCCATTTAAGGACGTTCTAAACACTTCACACTAAAGAGCTCCAATTATTCGGTAGTTTTATGCAGTTAGAGTGATCTGCCCGTAGATGTAAGATTAAAGAAATTGCTATTTACCATTAATTACACGATTTGTAATAGATTAAAATATTTTTAGCGGTATATAAGAGTAAGAAGAAGAAATTTAGTTAATTATTTTCATTGATTTTCCCAATGTAAGTAAACAACAGTGATTTCTGCTCACAAACAATCCATTGTCTTTGAAATTTTTTCCTGCGCAAATAAGGCACGTGCCCTATGTTCTAAATGAATGCAAAAGTCTCAATATGCATATCTTTACATGATATATTTTTCTCTGAGTCTAAAAAGCAGTTACTATTAGTGTTTAGAGCTTCTTTAAGATAGAGAAAAAAAATCCCTCTGATCCAGCATAATGGTTCGCTTCATGATCAGGAGACCCGTGTTTGGATTGCCTTTGGCTGCACCGCGTCAAAACCGCGTTAACATAGGATGGTATTTTAATCATGTTCGTGATATGACCAATGACTACAGAGGTTTCTAGTTTTTTCTCGGAGATGCAAATTTTTAATAATAAAAATGTATTTTTCAGGTATAGTGGGTGTTTGGTCCATTTTTGATTTTTTAGGATTAGCTATCAAAAATATGAACCTAAAACACACTAATATTGACAATTTTTGTTACAGTGGCCAAACTTTTTCTTTTTACTCGTTTTGTGTGTGTATGTTATTTTGACCTGCATATATTTTTTGTGACATATTAATTTTGCAAATTTACATAAAGTTTACTTCAATGTTAGATTAAATAACAACGAAAATTTTGTTATAATTGTGTTCAGCTTCATTCGTACTACAACGTTAGTAATTCGTCGGCCTTGTTCACCTGTTTTTTTAAAGAAGGATTGAAACATGTAGATGATACTGGCTATTTTAAATATCAAAAAATACTGATCTCTTTGATTATAAGATATTACATAACTGTCTGAATAATCACACGATAAATACACAAGATATACACACATTTCCAAGAAACTTTCTTCTTGTTCACTTGTTTATTCATGCTTAATAAAAAGACTGTTGAAAAAAGATACATAAAATACAGTGTGTAAGCAAAGAGGCCATTTTTTAGAAAATCAATAATAAGTAAAGAGATGCATGAAGTTTTGCTGACAGTATTAGCTGCTAATATTCACTAAACATGGAACACAATATTTCAGTTTTGTTTCTCATTTTAATTTCAACCTCTAAAGAATTGGTATTCGGACTGGAATATCGGAAACCTTCTTCAGCAGTACTTTACGTTGTAAGGCCCAAGTCACTTTTGCTTTATGCATGATTTTATCTTTCCTTGGACAACACAAGCTGATGATATCACGCATAGCGGTCCGCCATGTTCCTGTCAAAAGAAATGCTGGTCAGATCGCAACTGTTGCCCGGATTTATATTTTCTCTCATCCAGAGCCATTCTGCACATCTGCTGCCATTCTTAATAGATCATTAGACATTAAAGAAAGTTCAACATTTCTTATGATCGATTCCTGCCCGAAAAATACAGTCGAGGAAACAAAACGGAAATGTGAAGGGGATTTGAGTTCCATTGAGAAAATTCTCTATCCTCCAGTGACCAGGCAAACCTCCTCCCTGGCCTACCTAAACCGTTACTGCACTGACTGCAATTTTGAATTCAGTTACGATCCCTGGCCTTTGAATATTGTCTGTGATGAGTTCTTAGACATCAACTTCTTTTCTTCCTATGATGAATTGATTGAAAAAGGGAAAAAGAATCGATGTATCATATTGTCATATCCTCCGCAAGAAAAGATCAACTACAATTGTACACAAGGTATGCAAGAAAAAGTGTACTTTGACTCTTGTAATAAAACCGGAAGCTGGAAAATATTTGACTCCCATATAAAACGAAGCTGCGAATCAAGGTATATCAATAATGACAAGATGTATAAAAACATGTTCTGTAAAATCTGCAACCCTCCTATCTATACAGAGAATGTGATTGGTCGATGTAATGTCACAGGTATGTATGATGACTATAATCCAACACAGGAGAGAGCATGTCTAAATAATGACGCCAACCAAGGTTCACTTCCGTACAAAAATGTATTTTGTTTATCGTGCAATAAACCATCACAATTCAATTCCAATTTTCTTGATGTCAGCGCGGAAATTAAGACAAAAATTGATGATATTAAAGATACCGGAAGGACTACAACTTTTTATTCTGACATTAGTATTGTGATTTTGATGAGGACTTCTTTTTAACTAAAATCACTGGTGAGCAATGGGACTAACAAAACCGCGAGAGATGCAGTTACCCAGTCTCGAAACATAAGTAACCTTTTATCTAAAATGATTTCTCTAGAAGGAAACGTAAACACCTATGGAAAGTCTAGCATTCCAAGCCTGTTTTCGTTGTCTTCATTCGAAAGTTATTGTTCTTGTGACCCAAAATGCATTTTACTGATGGTCTTTCCAGGTCTCAGAGCTGTTGTGCTGATGTTGCTCTGAACTACCCTTCAGTTTGCCTGAGTGAAAACAAATAATCGAGGAAAGACGCACAAAGGAACGCAGAAGAACTTCTGGTTACAAGCCGGTTCTATGGAAGTAAAGAATTTCCAGAATTTATTGTAAGAGGATGTCATCAACAATTTGAAGATATTTTTTCAATGCACCCTGTCACGGATCCATCAACTGATATTCCGTATCTGAATATGTATTGTTTACTATGCAAACAGTCTTCATCAACGAAAGTAGCAAGACACAAACCATGGGATATTAAAGCGAATTGCTCTGTTTATATAGACAAAACAAATTTTCTACTTTTTTCGGATTTTCTAAAAGCATTACGAGCTGCAGGCTGTGATACATACTATCACCCTCCTCGTTCAGTGACTTCTTGTCAAAATAGCAAAAGTAAAACGTGTTTCCGGAAATCTGACAACATAATAGACAAATGTAATAAAACAGGAAACTGGCCACATAAAGATCCGGATATTATCTGGGCATGTGAATTGATACCACCTGGTTCCTTACCTTTGTGGCACGAAAATGTCAATGGTCAAACGAAAAAGTATAAAAATGTTTATTGTGCGTTATATAGCCCCCAAGAATGGTCTGATACCTTTGTAGATAGATGTTTGTATCATTCCAGTAAAATCCACGTAAAGATGTGCAACTTTTCCCCCCAAATTTATTTTCTATATCCTTACAAGAATATCTTTTGTAAATTTTGCACATATGGACCTCCTAGAAGACACTTTCACGAAGTTTGCTATCGCAAAGAATCCACAGATCCAATCCTCGAACCACTTATAGAATAAGACTTCTCACCGTCAAGACTTGTCGTGAAATCCTTAAAATATTATATAAATATCCGAGTGACAATTTCAGCTCTGGAGCAGCCAGTGATGGTCAATGTACGGAAGCACAGAACTTTTACTCAATGATGATATTTGTATTTCTGTATTCTATCTCAACAGTCAATTTTTGCTTTGTTTATGCACGGGTGCAATAATTTGTTTCTAAATTTATCATGAAAGCGTTTACATTTTCTGTTTTTTGGGAGGCTGCAGAAACGTCACATGTTATCCCGGGAAAAACTTTGAATTTAGGTAAATCTTGTGTGCCACTATTTAGAGAAGCACGAAATCTCCGGTACAACTTGGATGCCTATTTCAACTGCTCTACTCAGTATAACGCTTCTTTAGGGGATATTTTGACACATATTCACCGATTTACATTTTCCAAACTGCAATCTCTTTTTGGATAAAGATCTGTGAGAGAACTAATAACGAACATTGATATACCTTGTAAACAAGGAATTTTTCTGGAGAATTATTTTCAATTGCATTTGAGTTTCAAATTATTTTTTGAAAATCCAGTCCAGAGACTTAAAGAGAATTAAATCTCTTGAATATCAAATACAACTTTAGCATTCCTGGATTTACCCTGATTTCAAATGTTCCTTCCGATGAATCTAACTGGTCTTGTTCCTTTAACTATGATGATGGATCTTACGCTTGGACTGAAGTTCGAGTTAGCAACATTTTAGTTTGCACTCAAATTGAGTTTAATCCACAAGAATTGGAAATTTATGAAACTGAAAAAAATACTTATATGCTTCTAAAAATGAACAACATGACTTTAGATGCTGATGATTTTGACATTTTGCCCGAAGGCACTGCACGAGTATGTGTCTCTATGTTGCGTCAGATTCACGATGACACAAGAACGACTTACAAACCTAATTTGAAGAAAATCTCACAGTATTCCATCACAGACTTTACCTTACTGACTTTATCCAGAATTTTTCTTTTTAATACGTTTTGCACCTACTGTATATTCCAGGAGCTTCGGACATTGCCAGGAGGAACTATTATGATTCTCATTGCCGTTTTGCTCACGACAGACGTTTTCATCCTTACTGGTAGCGGGAGGGAGATCAATACTACAGGATGTGTAGTTTACAGCATAATTACCCACTACCTGTGGCTGACCTCATTCTTCTCTATGAACATATGTAGCTTTCATTTGTATCGGGTTTTTCACTCAAAAGTTGCTCTGGTCAACCAAACTAACAAATGGTGTATCTTAGGTAAATATTCTACTCATATCTTTGTTACTCCACTGGTGGTGGTTTTAAGCAACATAGCAGTGACGATGGCAAAACAAAGCTATATCGGATACGGAAAAGTAAAATGCTTTATAGATGAAAGCCTGTACCTGATAGCATTTTTCCTCATTCCTGTTGGGCTGCTGTGTATAGCTCATTCCTGTTGGGCTGCTGTGTATAGAGAACTTAGTTTTCTTTATTAAAACCTTGTGCACAATAATTCGATCTCCCAAAGTCCGCAAGAATAAAGCAAAGACAAATGAGTTCTCCATATTTGCACGCTTACTCACAATAACCGGAGCAACATGGTTGTTACAGATTCTGGCCGGCTTTCTAGAAGATTCGACGTTCTCCCCTGTAGTTAGCGCAATTAACAGTCTACAAGGTGTATCTATTTTCATTGCATTCATGTGCAGTAGGAGAACGCTTCAATTATATCAAAAATTAATTTTACGACGTCGGAAAAAAAGGTTCCACAACGCATGTTACCAAAAGTACCGATAAAACGCTCATCAAATCCAGTACTTCAGTGTGACAAATGACTATTCAGTGCTTTATTTATACTGCGCATTCATAAAGTTAATTTTTATGTGCAGTTGAAAATCTCTGAAAATATATCAAAGATTAATTTTACGACGTTGGAAGAAAGAGGGTTCCACAACACGTGTTACCGAAATTACCGAAAATCGCTCATCAAATCCAGAACTTCAGTGTGACACATGACTATTCACTGCTTTATTTATACTGCGCATTCATGGAGTTTCTTCTTCCAATCAGTTTAGAATACACTGTACATATAAACCATAGTAGCATCCTAATACTAAGTCTTACTAAATGGCCTCATGGAAGAGCCTAATACTAATTCTAACTACTAGGCCTTATGGAGGAGCCTCATACTAAGTCTAACTACTAGGCCTTATGGAGGAGCCTAATACTAAGTCTAACTACTAGGCCTTATGGAGGAGCCTCATACTAAGTCTAACTACTAGGCCTTATGGAGGAGCCTCATACTAAGTCTAACTACTAGGCCTTATGGAGGAGCCTCATACTAAGTCTAACTACTAGGCCTTATGGAGGAGCCTCATACTAAGTCTAACTGCTAGGCCTTATGGAGGAGCCTAATACTAAGTCTAACTATTAGGCCTTATGGAGGAGCCTCATACTAAGTCTAACTACTAGGCCTTATGGAGGAGCCTCATACTAAGTCTAACTACTAGGCCTTATGGAGGAGCCTCATACTAAGTCCAACTGCTAGGCCTTATGGAGGAGCCTGATATATATAGTCTAACTACTAGGCCTTATGGAGGAGCCTCATACTAAGTCTAACTACTAGGCCTTATGGAGGAGCCTAATACTAAGTCTTACTACTAGGCCTTATGGAGGAGCCTCATACTAAGTCTAACTGCTAGGCCTTATGGAGGAGCCTCATACTAAGTCTAACTACTAGGCCTTATGGAGGAGCCTCATACTAAGTCTAACTACTAGGCCTTATGGAGGAGCCTAATACTAAGTCTAACTATTAGGCCTTATGGAGGAGCCTCATACTAAGTCTAACTACTAGGCCTTATGGAGGATCCTATTGTGAACCCCAGGGGTTGTTTTGATATAATTCAGAATCTCATACTAAGTCTAACTATTAGGCCTTATGGAGGAGCCTCATACTAAGTCTAACTACTAGGCCTTATGGAGGAGACTCATACTAAGTCTAACTACTAGGCCTTATGGAGGAGCCTCATACTAAGTCTAACTATTAGGCTTTATGGAGGAGCCTCATACTAAGTCTAACTACTAGGCCTTATGGAGGAGCCTCATACTAAGTCTAACTATTAGGCCTTATGGAGGAGCCTCATACTAAGTCTAACTACTAGGCCTTATGGAGGAGACTCATACTAAGTCTAACTACTAGGCCTTATGGAGGAGCCTCATACTAAGTCTAACTATTAGGCCTTATGGAGGAGCCTCATACTAAGTCTAACTATTAGGCCTTATGGAGGAGCCTAATACTAAGTCTAACTACTAGGCATTATGGAGGAGCCTCATACTAAGTCTAACTATTAGGCCTTATGGAGGAGCCTAATACTAAGTCTAACTGCTAGGCCTTATGGAGGAGCCTCATACTAAGTCTAACTACTAGGCCTTATGGAGGAGCCTCAGTGCCTCTTTATTTTAATCCAGTGTTTTAAGGACCAGTGTGTCTGAGCAATGATGACAATGTTAAGTTCTAGCTGAGAAATGTAATATTATCTAACGTCAGACAAAATTAAAAACTAAACTGCTCTGGGGAGTTAATTTCAAATTTCAAATTTGTATATTTGTAGGGAAAATAAAATAATTATCTATTCCCCTTTTTTTAAATCCAGAAAACAACCCCCTCCTTTCGTTATAGGTACGTACATGTATGAAAATCAACAATAGATATAAATGTGCTACTGATAAGAATTCAGTTACTTCCTGATATAAATTATAACAAGAGGCTCATAGGTAGCAACCCTAACCTGAGTAACTTAGGACCTGCTGTTTTTCATCTGACTTTCCCTCTTGTAATACCTATTGTGACACCGTCCTACCCCAGGGGTCATGTTTTGATATAATTCAGAATCTGCACTACCCCAGGCAAGCTGTTCTTTAGAAAAATATTTCTCCTATATATTTCAAGGTAAAACTTAGATTCCCCATTGCAGCCCCGCCCTACCCATAGGGGTCATTAAATAAGTTAGAATCTACACTACCCCATTATGCTTCTACATAAGTTTCAGCTTTTACGGTCCAAAGCTTATGGAGAAGAAAATTTTTCCAATATACATGTATTTCAACGAAAAACTTAGATTTGCTATTGGGCCCGCCCTACCAATTCATGTCCAGTTCACGTTATCAATTCGATATTGTCGACATCGCAATGATGACAATGTTGACACGATATTGTGATTAAATTATCTACATTGTTTTCATTCATTATGAAGACATTGCAATGTAAACAATGTTGATGCAATATCGCGTTAACATCGTCTACACTGTTATTGTTTCTACATGACGACATCGTCAACGTCGACATTGAAATGTAAGCAATGTTGATACAATATCGCGTTTACATAGTCTACATCGTAATTATTTTTACATTGCGATGTCGACGATGTCGAAATCGCAATGTAAACAATGTTGAAACGATATTCTTCTATATCGTCTAAATTGTAAATATTTTTATATTGTATATCGACATCGTCGACATCGCAATGTAAAAAATGTTGAAACGATATCGCGTATACATCGTCGACATTGTTATTGTTTCTACATGTCGACATCGTCGACGTTCACATCGCTATGTAGGCAAGAAAAATAAGAAGGCAATGTTGACATGATGTCGACTTGATATCGACCAACATTGCAATGTTGACGATGTGAACGATGTAAACAAGAAAAATAAGAAGGATGTGTAGACACTATACCGACTCGATATCAACCAACATTGCGATGTCGACGATGTTAACGATGTAAACAAGAAAAATAAAAAGGCAATGTTGACACGATGTCGACTTGATGTCAATCTACATTGCGATGTCGACGAAGTGAGCGATGTAAAAAACAGAAAAGGGGAAGGCAATTTTAACAAGATTTGGACTCAATATCGTCAAACAATGTAATATATAGAGAGATAAACAAAGGTATTATCCAGCATTGTCATGTTGAATATGTAATGATAGTAGGAGAACTGGTATTTTTACAGCGATGTCGACAATATCGGAAAAGAAACATCGTGCACTGGACATAGCCTGGAGGTATGTGAGAGCATGCTTCAATTGTTAAAATAAAGGTAAAATTAAGCTCATCGAGGTCATTTTCTTGTGTTTCTATCATAATATGTTTAATGCTTTTCTTCCGATAAATCTGTTAAAACAGATATTGTATGATAAAAAATAATTATAATAATGTATATTCTGTAAGGCAGCGAAAATCAACATTTATCAACGAAGCCACTTTGATGTTTAAAGTGTCCTTTATTAACTTAACCTAGAATAATTTGTAGTATATCTTCCACTCAAGTTATGTAACAAAAAAATATTTTGTTAAAAAAACACTTTTTTTATCTAAAGTTGTCATAAATAGATGAGAATATCTATGATCGTACAATACACAAAGAGTTTAAAGCATTGCATGCGATGAATTATACAAAGATTTAAAAAGCATAAGTGTCACTGAATGTTGTCAAGATGAATACAATGGACAAAGGGCCGATGTGACCGCTCGACAGGGGCAAACAAAAATCATCTTCAAAAAAATCAAATGCACGTTCTAGTTCAGCAGCTTTTCTTAACAGTTAAACTTTTGATAAATGAAGGATATGAAGATAACGAACAGTATTCAATTTCAAAGTCCATAAAACAATACAAAATAAGAGCAGAGCATACACGGACCTCCGAAACATCAGAGGTGGAATCAGGTGCCATGGAGGAGTGAGCATCCCCTGCTGACCGGTCACACCCGCCGTGTGCTCCTTGACATGAACAGGAAATAACAGAAAAATCCGTCGTCAATTCAGTGTATAAATAGTGGACTAACAATTGGTATGAAAAAAGTAAGTCAGCATTTGACTCAATTATAAATTGTATTTGCTGACAAGGTCATTGTATCGACCATAGAACTTACGAAATGATGACTTTAAACTAGACTGTTGATATTCTTGTTTCATCAACTTGCTTGTCAATAATTTACCTCGTTTTAGAAATTGTTCATACGTAGATCATGCTCTTGCCTATCAAATAAACTGAGATATATACACTCCGTACGCAGGTGATGAAGGTCGAATAGCTTAATTCTATCTTGTTTTCCAAGCCTAACAAAACGCTTTCGAAGTTTGTTTTTTGGATATTTTAGTAAGTAATGTTAAAAGTAAAGAAATTCTTAGACCTTTGAAGAAACAAGTTTCCCCTAAAATAAAGTTTTTTACTTTCATTTCTGTCAGCGTTCTACGGCTATAATCTCTAGTTAAGCCACCCACAGTAAAGCAAAAACGAACACGTCGCCATCATGGCCAGAAGATATCTTCCTTGATTTCACACTATCTCGCATAAGTTCGTAGGTTGCTAAGGGATTATATTTTTGGGCGAAGGAGGAAGTTCTTCGTCCGAGTCAATGTTTCGGCTCCAACACCAAAGAGATGTCAACCTACTTTGATAACATTGTTTGTAGGTATCGATTATCGTACCTTTTTGTGTCACAATCTTTTTGAAAGATTGTGGCCCTTGTGACACTCAGAAATTAGATAAAAGCAAACATATAATGATATGTCTCCTTATTGGAAAACTGTAAATCAAGCAAATAGAAAAAAAATCTAAAAACAGAGGGATGCCAAACCTGATTAGTAAATCTGAAAGAAACACAAATTCCTTTATCTTTGACGTACTGTTCAAAGACCTCAATTAAAGGGTATATTTAATCAATCAAACATACTGCAAGATACTGAAATATAGATAAATATATATCAGCATGAAAAATTAAAATACACAAAGCAAAGTTCTTTAAGCTATACGAAAATAAACCTTTTTGTAAAGCTAATACGAACCCCCTCAGTTTGATCTAAACATAGCTACCATTTTTTTAATTACTTGGGATATAGGAAGAACCACTCACTAGGATAATTTTACTCATTGTTTGATATCTTTAGGAACATCTTAGAGTAAGTTTTGCGTAAGAGGAATCCTACACTAGAACACATGTTCGGGCGGCGGGAGGAGGGTTTAGAGAGGAAACCCTTCTCTATATGATCGGTCGGTTATCCAGCCATTAAAGATAGAATAAAAAACCTCTGAACTAACCAAATGACTCCTTCATGATCAGGAGACCCGTGCTCGGACTGCCTTCGGCCGCACCGCGTCAAACCTATGACGTTAACATAGGTAGTAAGCTTTCCTTTGTTAACTGTTCAATGGCACTGACTGCCTTATATAGGTCTTAATGAAGCCCTTAACCCGTATTCCTCTATATGAGTGAAACAAATTTTCGAAAGGCAGGTAAAAACACTATAAAATCAATCAATTAATATTAAATATTTCTACTTATAAATTGATTAATAATTTTTAGTCTTCCTATATTTTATTTATTTTGAAGAAAAATTTGCATGCTTTTAAATACTTAATAGTTAAAGAACCAGGTCAATGCAGTGGCTAATTTATTAACCATGCAATCTCCTTAAAGAATTTTTAAAAGGACAATAAACAAAAATTGAAGTTAAATTCGCAAAAATGTCAATATTTCATACAAGTTTTAAAAAAGAAACCTTCATACATTAACCATATATATATCGGGTCTTTTAAATATTAAAAATACTAAAGTCTTTGTTTATAAAATAAAGTATAGCTGCCTGAATAATCACACGATTAATACACAGGAAAAACGCAATTTAATAGACAATTTACGTTCTTTTTCTTCTTCACTTGTTTATTCATAGTTAATAAAGACTCCATTGAAAAAGAAACATAAGAAACACTTTGTAAATTGTAAGGCAATTTGAAAAAAATATTTATAAATAAAGAGATTCACGGAGTTTCACTGAAAATATTAGCTGCTAGCATTCAATCAACATGGACTACAATATTTCAATTATGTTCATAATTTTACTTTCAACCTTTAAAGTGGGTGCATCATCAGACTGGAATATCAGGAACCTTCTTCAGCAATACTTTACGTTGTGTGGCCGAAGTCACTTTTGCTTTATGCATGATTTTCTCTTTCCATGGACAACACAAGCTGATAATATCCAGCACAACTGTCCGCCATGTTCCTGTCAAAAAAAATGCTGGTCAGATTGCAACTGTTGTCCGGATTTGTACTTCTCCTATCCAGAGCCTATCTGCACATCTGCTGCCATTCTAAATGAATCATTATACTACGACGGAAGTTCTACCTTTCTTGTGGTCGATTCCTGTCCCAAAACTACAGTCGAAGAGACAAAACGGAAATGTGAAGGTGATTCGAGTTCTACCGAGAAAATTCTCTTTCCTCCTGTGACCAGTCAGAACACCCCCCTGGCGTACCTTAACCGTTACTGTGCTGACTGCAATAATGATTTCCAGTACGATCCCTGGCCATTAAGTATTGTCTGTGACGAGTTCTTAGACATAAACTTCTTTTCTTCGTACGAAGAATTGATAGAAAAGGGGAAAATGAATCGGTGTAACATATTGTCATATCCTCCGCAAGAAGAGATCAACTACAAGTGTACACAAGATATGCAAGTACAAGTGCACTTTGACTCTTGCAATAAAACCGGAAGCTGGAAAACATTTGACTACGATATTAAAAGAGGTTGCGAATCAAGGTATATCAATAAGGACAAGATGTATAAAAACATGTTCTGCAAAATCTGCAACCCTCCTATCTATACAGAGAATGTGATTGGTCGATGTAATGTCACAGGTAAGTGGGATGAATACGATCCAACACATGAAGGAGCATGTCTAAGCAATGACACTAACCCGGGTTCAATTCCGTATAAAAATGTATTCTGTTTTTCATGCAATAAACCTGTACGATTCAAGTCAAATTTTCTTGATGTCGACGCAGAAATAAAGACAAAAATTGGTGATATTACAAATACCGAAGTATCTACAACCTTTCATTATGAAATAAACATTTTTAACTTTGATGAGGACTTCTTCCAAACTAAAATCAATGGTGAGCAAGCGGATTTTAAGGAGAGGTCTAACGAAACCACAAAAGATGCAGTTACCCAGTCTCCAAACATAACAAACCTTGTATTCAAAAGAATTTCTCTAGAAGGTAACATGAACACTTGTGGAAACTATGGTATTCCAAACCTGTTTTCTTCTTTCGAAAGTGATTGTTCATGTGACCCAAAATGCATTTTTACTGATGGTCTTTACGGATCTCAGAGGTGTTGTGCTGATGTCCCTCTAAGAAATCCCTCGGTTTGTCTGAGTGAAAAGAAATTATCGAGGAAAGAGGCACAACGGAACGCAGAAGAACTTCTGGTTACAAGTGGGTGCTATGGAAGAAAAGAAATACCAGAATTTATTGTAAGAGGATGTCATCAACAATTTGAAGATGTTTTTTCAATGCACCCTGTCACAGATCAATCTGATATCCCGTATCTAAATATGTATTGTTTACAATGCAACCAGTTTCCATCAACCAAACTAGTATGGCACAAACCATGGGACATCACAGCAGATTGTTCCTTCTATATAGACATGTCCAATTTCTTACTTTTTTTGGATTTTCTAAATGCATTACAAGCTGCAGGATGTGAATCATATTATCACCCTCCTCGTTCAGTGACTTCTTGTCAAAATAGCAAGGGTAAAACGTGTTTCCGGAAATCTGACAACATAATAGACAAATGTAACAAAACAGGAAACTGGCCACATAAAGATCCGGATATTCTCTGGGCATGTGAATTGATGCCACCTGGTTCCTTGCCTTTGTGGCACGAGAATGACAATGGTCAACTGACAGCTTATAAAAATGTTTATTGTGCGTTATGCAATCCCCTGGAATGGTCTGATGCCTTTGTTGACAACTGTTCCTCTGGAGTCAGTGAAATCAGCCTTAAAAAGTGCAACTTTTCCCCCAAAATCTATTTTACATATCCTTACAAGAATACCTTTTGTGAAATTTGTACAAATGAATCTCTGAAAATTAAAACAGACTCTAGCAAAATTTGCTACGGATCCGAACACCCAGAAGTATCCGAGAGAAAAGACTTTCTTTTGCGATATTATTTCTCACCGTTCAGACCTGTTATGAAATCCTTAAATTATTTATATAAATATCCGAACGACAATTACAGCCCCGAAGAAGCCAGTGAACGTCAATGTAGGGAAGCACAAAACTCATTGATGGTATTTGCATTTCTGTAGTTTGTTTCAAAAGTCAATCTTTTGCTTTACTTATATACAAGTTCTTGTACTATACTTTATTCCCAAATGATTTTGTTAAAGCCTATACATTTTCTGTTTTAGGGAGGCTGCAGAAACGTCACATGTTATCCTGGAAAAACTCTGAATCTTGGTCAGTCTTGTTTGCCACTATTTAGAGAAGCACGAAATCTCCGGTACCGTATGGATGCCTATTTCAACTGCTCTACTCAGTTTAACACTTCTATTGGGGATATCTTGACACATATTCATCGATTTACATTCTCTAAATTGCAATCTCTCTTTGGACAAAATTCTGTGAGAGAACTGATAACGGACATTAATTTACCTTGTAATAGAGAAACTCTTCTGGAAAATTATTTTCAATTGCATTTGAGTTTCAAATTATTTTTTGAAAATCCAGTCCAGAGACTTCAAACAGAATTAGATCTCTTGTATATCAAGCACAATTTCAGCATTCCCGGTTTCATCATGATTTCAAATGTACCTTCCCCCGAATCTAACTGGTCTTGTTCCTTTAGCTACGTCAATACTTCTTATGATTGGGCTAAATATCGTGAAGTTCGAGTGAGCAAGCTTTTAGTTTGCGCTCAAATAGAGTTTAGTCCACAAGAATTTGAAATTTATAAAACTGGAGAGAATAACAATATTCTTCTAAAAATGTACAACATAACTTTAGAGGATGACGATTTTGATATTTTGCCCGAAGGCCCAGCAAGAGTATGTGTCTCTACGTTGCGTCAGATTTATGATGACACAAGAACGACTTACAAATCTACTCTGAAGGAGATTTCACAGGATTCCACTATAGAATTTGCCTTCCAGACGCTGTCCTGTATTTTTCTATTGATTACGTTTTGCACCTACTGTATCTTCCAGGAGCTCCGGACATTGCCAGGAGGAACTATTATGATTCTTATTGCTGTTTTGTTCGCGACAGACGTTTTCATCCTTATACGCAAAGGTAATGAGGTCAATACTAAGGGATGTTTTGTATATGGAATAATTACCCACTACCTGTGGCTTAGTTCATTCTTTTCTATGAACATATGTAGCTTTCATTTGTATCGAGTATTCCACTCAAAATTTGCTCTGCACAACCAAGCTAACAAATGGTGCATCTTGGGTAAATATTCAGTTTATATCTTTGTTACCCCGATGGTGGTTGTTTCAAGCAACATAGCAGTGTCGGTGGCAAAACATAATGATATCGGATACGGAAAAGTAAAATGCTTTATAGATGAAAGCCTACACTTGATCGTATCTTTCCTCCTTCCTGTTGGGTTGCTGTGTACAGTGAACTTAATTTTCTTTATCAAAACCTTGTCCACAATAATTCGATCCCCCAAAGTCCGCAAGAATAAAGCAACGACAAATGAGTTCTCCATATTTGCGCGCTTACTCACAATAACCGGAGCAACATGGTTGTTACAGATTCTGGACGGCTTTCTAGAAGATTCGGGGTTCTCCGATGTGGTTGGCGCAATTAACAGTCTACAAGGTGTATTTATTTTCATTGCATTCATGTGCAGTAAGAGGACGCTTCAATTATATAGAAAATTAATTTTACGACGTAGAAAGAAAGAGGGTTCAGCAACACATGTTACCAGAAGTACCGAAGAAACTCGTATCAAATAGGGAAATTCGGTGCGAGACATTTTAAAAGTGCTGTATTTATTCTACGCATAAGGTAACTTCCTCTCTTTGATACCCCTAGAATACATGTACAAAGTAGCATCCTAATACAGAACCTAACAACTCGGCCTTATGATGGAGCCTCAGAGCCAATTTTGATTACAGTGTCTTGCAAATCTGAAAAATTATTACAATGTTCAAGCTAATAAGTGTAACATTATCAAAAGTAAGACAAAATAAATATTAAAATGCTCACTGGAATCTGTTTTAAATTTCAATTTTGTGGGGGTTTTGTTAATTTGTAAGTAAAATAAAATAATAATCTATTCTCTTTTTAATAAAATCAGACAACAACCCCTTCCCAACCACCACCATACGTTGGAGGTGCCTATAAAAATATATTACACGATAGATATAAATATTACGCATATTTAAAAGAAAAGTTAAAATTATCAGTTTATCATATAGGGTTTTTATCAATTATTTACAATAAATTGAAAACTTTTTCTTTGATGTATTATATTTTTTTGTACTTAAAATTTTTTTTCAAAAAATATATGTTAACATTTCTTTTGAAAAATGTTCTGGCTTTAATATTGCATGTTTTCAACATTTTTTTGACAAAGGAAGGCAAGATATATAAGAAAATAAAATGTATCAAGAGGCCAATGAGCTGTATTGCTCATCAATCATTATAAAATCAGTTCAAAACTGAAAAGTACAAAAATGTATCTGGTGCAATTTCCCTCTATATTTAGTGGAGGAAAAAGGAACCGATGATTCTAAAACTTGTTTCCACAATGTATCATTATCTGCTGTTTCTTAAAATACCGTATAGCGGGTTATTTTAGCGGGGTGCTAATTTTGGCTTCTTTTGGCGCTTAAATTATTGGCATACCCTTAAGCAGGCAAAACGCCAAATTTTACACCCGCAATAACCAATGACAAGTTCCATTTTTATTGAAAACGCAGCTGTCAATGATATCAAAACTCCTTAACTGTAATTTATCATGGGGAATGGTTGTGAATAAAGTTTGAAAAGTCGTGAGTTTTTTTAAAGCTGTTGATTTTGGTAAAATCTTGTGATTTCAAATAGGCTTAAAGTTAATTAGAATTTTTAAGTATCCACATCTGGTTAACACCACTTCTGGAATATATTGTTGCACAGTACTCTTGAAGTTTCTCTTTCACTACTGTTAATGTTTTAGTGAGGAATAAATTAATTTATATTATTTAAAAGAGAAAATTGTCTATTGACTGTGCTGCTCTCAAAAAAAAATATTTTTAAGACTTACCGTGTATAATTTTATTGTATTTGCTGCAAACATTAAGGGCAATGAATCTATATCAACTATATGACTGTGCTTCTAACCAAAGCTTTGCTGTTCTGGGAAGAATGTTTTTAACCGATTTTTCCTATATATTTCATCAACTTGTTTGTCAACGTAATATACCTTCACTTGAGTTTCTGTTTAAGTGTTTTATGAAGGTTTTTGAGTGGTACATTAAATATTCAATAAAGAACTACGAACGATAGTATTGTTCTCCCGCCTACCTCCAAGTCAATTTTCAAAAGTTAATATGTTTGAATGATTTTCCATATTTATATTTATATTCATATTTTCATGAATTTCCATTAAAAATTACTTATTTGGGAAAACAAAAAGAGATAACCCCTTAATTTTGGTCACATAAAATAAGGGAAGCTTTTTTACCCCCCCCCCCTGTGAAACAAAAATTCCATTATACAGGTAATATACGTCAATTATCATACCAAAGCTTTTTGTGTTTCACGATTACCAAAAAAATGATTAAAGTTAATTTTTCACCAATTTCAAAGGGGTTAACAACTAAAACATAATACATGTGTATTTCATTAATGATATATGTTTAATTTCATATGCTTAGAACATGTGTCATTTATTCTTCAGCTACTTTAAAATACGGTGATGGTGTAAAGCCGGGTTTTTTTTTTTTTAAAGAGCTGAAGGTAATTAACTATTATACATTGGTATTAAAATAATTAATCAATTATAATTGAACAGATCTTTTCATTCAACAAAGATTTTATGGCCAAATTACTATTAATATTGAATGAAATAGGTTTAAAATGTAGGGCCGTGGCTCTCCTGTCTGGATCTGGATGAAAAGTTTGAATTCTCTTCAAAAAGAATGCTTGGGAGAAGTTGACATTAACTTTAATCCCAATGTAAACAAAACGTTCTAAACTTAGCCTCCGTAATGTACAAAAAAATTCTCGGTCGTATACAGTCAATAACGTACTTCGGTCTTTACTCAGTGCTTCTAGAGAGAAAGATAACATGGTAAAGGTTTAGGACCCCAACAATGACAACGGTGACAGAAAATGGACAAATTTTGGTGAGAAAAGATCACTTGAGACTTTGGGTCAAGTGTGCTAAACAAAAGACGATATTGATGCTGACAGATATACTTTATTAAATCATGTATAAAAAGTAGTTCTAAGTTTGCAATATCCAGTCCCGTTCCCAGTCTCGTTTTCGTTTCCGAGCCTCGTTCCGCTGCCTGCTGTCCTCAATACTTCTTTTCTTTCTTTCCTTGGATACAATCTCAATAGTGAAAGGAGCCGCGGCGAACCTGCTCCATTTGGGACAGGACAAACCAGACCAAGTCTCCAGCTTCCGTTGTAGAGTGGTCACGATCTTGTCAGGATTCACGCCGTGCATAACGTGGAAGTTTACAAAATTGACTTTCCGGTTGTGGATCATCAAAACCTTCATAATTGAAATATAGATTATTTGCATCCAAACAAACACTTTTTTTAAAATTTCTATCGTATGAAATTCTTAAAATACGTTATGATATGGACAAAAATACGGTTAGATATCTCTCAGGACCAGACTGTTACCTTGAGAACACTCCGAAGAGCAGAAATATCTTTGTAGCGGTCTATTACAACTGACACATTTCCCGAGACATTCATGGCGATCTCCTGTTCCACGATCTGTAGAAGAGGGCTAGGATTGTCTGTGGCACCAAATACCTCCTCCTCGATACTCGTGTTAGGATTCGGTTTGTAGGTTTTCGCAAGTAAAGTTTCTTTTAAATGAAAAATAAATGTAAATGTAAACATGAGTTGGATGAAGGATATGGAGATAACGAACAGTATTCAATCTCAAAATCCATAACACAATACAAAATAGGAGCAGAGCAAACACGGATCTCCGAAAAATCAGAGGTGGGATCAAGTGCCCTGGAGGATAAAATGAATTAAAAATAAGAAGTAATGATAAGTTGCTAGAAGTGTTAACTCGTTCCAATGCCAACTTACGGAATATCGAGTATAGTTGTACGGTCTCTTGACATTTGGTTCCATCTTTCTTACAGGCATACGCATGTGCAGCTGAGTCAACATTATCCGGGTTAAAAAAGGACATGCTCTCTGTCGGCTTGATCAGTGGTATACTTGCATGCTTCATAAAGTTATCCACGAGTTCTGAACATGCTCTTACCTTCCCATCCCACTTCTTTCCTAAAGTTAGTTAATAAAGACTAAGATATAGGTAGCAGAGTAGTTCCTCAAAACAGAGAATTTCCAACATCATTAAAAGTTTAAGGACTCTTTGATATCGAAAAGCAACCTATGTTTTCATTTTCAATGTTTTTTTCTTTTCAAATTTTAATGTTTTAATGGTTTTAAAAGTTCAGTTTTTGAATTTAGCAAACTTGAATGAAAAAAATGCTTCATGATTTTCACTGAAAAGATAGATTACTGATATATTTCTCCCTTGTTCTTCTGTAATTTAATCGAATGTTTCTTAAGTATATATTAGTTAATAACACCTTAACACATGTTCGGAGTCGCGATAATAACTGACAGATACTTCTTTATTGTTTCTTTACCCGATCCTGAACATCCCCCACAGCCAGTGACGATACACTGTCTAATCTGTTCTCGAGTTGTTGCTATGTCCAGCCGATCAGTTCCCGCCACACTCTGTAATTGTTTCAGGAGATCCTCCGCGAGTTCTTTTCGGGCCTTGGTAGAGTTCTGGCAGAACTTAATATCATGGAATTGTAAGCAGAATCTGCAAGAAATGAAATTAAAAGTACCGATCAACAAATATCAATGAATTTCTATCTATCTGGTATATAGCTACTCCAGACAAATGTTAGTTTAATTTTTTTTTATTAATATCCATTTATTTTCAATAAATATTACCCTGGTCTGTTCAGATTAAAGTTGAGATAAGTTTTCTTTTTGAGGTCAGGCTTTTTACACGCACTCTTGACATCATATGGTATGATACCTGGACCACCCTTCGTTATTTCTGACCAGTACAACTTAAGCTCGTTCCACATGCACTCTGTTTCTTTGTTAACCGGACATTTTATCTTCAAATCAATAACTCTATTATCGTCACGGAGAGGATAAAGATCAACATAGATGCTAATTCGTCCGATTTCTTCATTTTGCTTTACATGGATACCTAGTCCTCTTCGCTGAAGACGGAGGAACGGGGTGCACGTAACCATCAACATTTTAGCCAAGGATAGGACTTCATCCTCACTGCTCGACATTATTTCAGCTGCTTGACCCATCTGGAATCTAGCTAATTGTCGCCTACTCCATCCAACCTCTTGTTCGTTAGCAGATTTTGGTCTATATCCAGTGAGAACTTGTATTTTTCCTCTAAAGTCCTGCTGTGTCAGATCTAAACATTCGACGAGAGAGGGGTCAATGCGCAGGAAACGATGACCTTCAAATTTAAAATCAGCTAATTTGAAATGTTTGGACAGTTTTATCTCTTCTCTTGCACCATCTACTAAGAGAGGTTTCTTATTCTCGTGGTCAAATTCTGCACTGTAGGAATACTCATCTTCCTCTGATGAAGGGGGAGCAACGGCAATAAGCACGTCACCACTGGGATAAGGAATCAGAGTGGTTCTAAACCCATCCTGTAGTTTTACAAATACCTCTATTGCTGCATTATCGATATTGCGAACAAAATCAAAACCAGCACATATCGCAGCATGCCCAAGAATAGGAATGCTAACATTAGGGTTTTCTTTAACTGTTAGTCGTGCTCCCCTGAAAAATAGAAATCATCAATGCCTTTATTGGTCAAAGAATTCTCCCCTCTTTCTTAAATGCAAACCATTCAAATGACTTGCCTTCCTTCAAGAAACAGTTCGGACTCTCCTCGATCCACTTTATCTGCAAATGCCCTCTCCACGGTGACGTTCAATCCTACAATACATTAATAAGGTTATAAAATTGCTGGTGATATTTTGTTTTTTGTTTTTTCACAATAGGAAATGTCAAGACACAACCATATGCTCACCCTGCAACTCATCTTTTGCTATCAAGGCTAATCTTCTCATGCGAAATGCAAGTCTTGGGGCCATAACTCGATTGGCACTCCAGCTCCAAGGGTCGTCTGCATTAGAAAAGCTTCCATCCTGGCACTTTCTCATTGTTCCACATTGGTCATTGCTTTGATTTTCTCGTCTTTCATGTAGGAACTCGAAATCGTCAAACTGATATTCATACAATCTAAAGCAAAGGTAGAAAGTTAAATTTAGTACTCACGATATAAGTTGTCCTTTATTTGTTTCTCTGTGAGAAACCTACTTGTTCATTTCCTCGGAGTTCTCTCGATGAATTTGTCCTAAAGCAGGGCCGACGGCAGCCTCCACCTCGCCAAGATAATTAGAAGGAAAAGATTCCCCACGTCCAAGCTTCACCACGTCAAATTTAGGACACTTCTTTCCAGGCAATATAGACTCTAAAATTGATAATGCAAGGATTATAAGTACAAATCATATGCCAAATACAAATACATGTAATCATTTTCAGAATAAATTACAAACCAAGGCGTTTCATTGCGTTGACCATGGCTTCTTTATCCGCCGCGTCTTTGCCACTAAGAGAAACTTTCTTTGTCCTCTTAACTTCCCTTGATGGAGTCTGTTTATCACCCACTGCAACCTCTATGCCTGCTTCTAGTTTCACCTTTGACACATATTGAAAGCCTGAGCATACTGCCATTTGTTCAAGGCGCTTATTATCTTTATCATCTTTAATAACAGGCGGAGGAACTGAAAAGTTGTTGTTGGCGTAAGTTATAGCAAGTTGAGCAGCTTTTCCCTCATAGTACAAGCTTTTATCGCCATGTTTTCCGTGTGGATGTGACGACGTAGGTTCATCCCAAGCTTCAACAACTACCAGTTTTTCTGAAATTAATGAAAATAAAAATTGTAAATGGCATAAAGCTTTGAAATAAGTTTCACAGCAATGACCTGAGTCGGATATAAACGGATGATGGGCAAATTGTAAAGGGAAAAAGATTGCTTTGGTAAACTTTATAGATTTGTACAATATTAACTGTGCAAAAGTAATCAAATACTGAGCGTAATCTTTGACATCGTATCAAGTCGGTTTTAAAAAGGTATTTAATAAACTTACTATCTGGCCATTCTGCAGATACATATTTCCCTAGAAGGCTGATTTTTGTAGCTAGTTTTGGAACCATCAGACGGTCAGCACACTCCTGGTCAATGTCGTCGGCGCCCTGATAAACACAACTTCCGCAGGGACGACCAGGGGTCCCGCACCAGGAGGAAAAGTTCGCCTCCTCAGACGAAAACAGGACGTTGTCTCCCCACATCTGTGTCAAACTAGAAAATAAAATGAAATCAGAAAGGAGTTATTAGAATGCAGAACTGTACCTCTATGAAAAAAATCAACAGATTGGAGAGCCGCTATGCCACCCAATAAAAAAAACGCCATCTCAAACGACTACAAACTTCGCCTATTTATACAGCCAATTTGTATAGAAAGATAGCTCTGTGCAACGCGCTCCATGCAAATGTCAGCTGCGAGAGTGGATAATAAAGGTTTAAAGAATTTTCCGAAATTAAGCTTTTTGTAAAGCTGAGGTAAGTTGGAGAAATAAATCCAGAATCGAGCGTAATTAACAGGTGGCACTGTAGCTCTCTGGTTCTCCATACCAATTACTTAAGACCAACAAGCTAGAGATCTACTGATATATTTTAAAATGATTAGGAAGTATTGCACATCGTACTCACATTCTGAAGTCGGGATCTTTTCTCCTGATCGACATTCTGGGATTTCCTACAACATCCGACATTGTTAGTCCGTCGTATAAAGATATCTTTGTTGATGTTGGACAATCCGCGGAACATTTCTGATACAAAGTTTCATTCTCAAAATTCACTTTCTTATTGAAGCCCTTTGCAATTAGACTATTCCTAAAAAAGGAATAAAAAAATACGTATTTTACATGTGTATTTTTAATCAAGGTATGTACAAATGATATATCTTAAAATATTTCATTTAAAATTGTTAGACTAGATGTGTCTCCTTTTCGGGGTTATACCATATCGACACTCCGAAGGCCTCCACCGTGAGTCTGGCCTCTGTAACATTGAACTCTCCACCAAGGTCGGCTGATTTCGTGGTGCACCGCTGGACGTCATTAACGGCAGATTTACCGCGAATAGTCGGTTTCAATCTTTCAAAGAAAAATCCAAGAAAAAGATTACTTTTTTATACATTTTTGTTAATGTCCGAGTATATAAATGAAGTGCAGATTTATTTTTTACCTATAGTTTATTGGAGGTGAAAAATCAATCTCCATGTCCCGAGCAAACCACCCAATTGTTGTGTTAAATAAAATCTAAAATGTCAAAAAATAAGAAAATACTCTTATAATCATGAATGAGCAGAATCAAGTATTAAAAAATCTACTGAGTGGATTAACAGAAAAAAATGTGCCCCGACCTGCTGATACACGGATATGTTGACGGACATGTCTTTGTCGCTGTTTACAGTATTGCGATCGGTGGTAGACGTCCAGTTGTGTGGTACAACGTCTCCTCCTAGAGACGAAGTTCCACTGTATTCATGAACTAAAAGAACAAAAGGATGTTTAATTTACTCTAATTACATGTAAGATTGTTCTTATGGTTTATATTTTAAGAATATAACTTCCATTATTCGAAATGAGTAGAATTTGAAATTATAGCAGACTTGCCAAAAGAATATTTTCCTCCAACTTTAATGTCCGTTTCCATAGTAACGGCTGATCTTGTGTCAACTTGCAAGTCAACATAAGTAGATCCCGTATATTTCACCGTCAGCATCACTGGCGGGAGATTTCGCACATGCGCAAGAGGCACCGAAAACAGCATTGTCGGTGGAACACGTAATTCTTCCATTTCTTTATGCAACTCAAACTTGATATCTTTTGAAGTCTGGAAACTTGTTTTCAAATTCATTGTAGTATTTGATTCAAGCTATAACAAATCAATTATGAAACAATTTTGATTTACTCTTTTAACAATTTCATGCATGAAAGTAGAAATTTGAGATAAAATCATGACAAACCTTGTTGAGGTAGCGATGAATCTCTGGTTCATTCATGGCATTCTTCTTTATGATTAAGTCACTGGAAAATTAACACAATTTGTCATAAATGTATACATGTTTTGTACATTGCAAGCGTGCTAGATACTGTCAAGTTTGGCACTTACAATTCATACGACATGTGGGATGTTCCACTGCAGTCCTCGCAGACGAAGCTCATGACTTCACTATCTGTTACGTTCTCAGTATAACGGTAGTCTGTGTCGTTTTCTCCAATTGCTAAACCAAACGATCCAATCGCCCTAGAGTCGTCTTTATTCCACGGAATAGAAGTCGTGTCACTGTACTGCCACGTGATGTTTCCCAGGAGTTCAGACAGTACATTGGCGATGTATCGGCGATGTCTTCTCCGCGTTTCTGGTGGATGAGATGCACTGTTTCCAGGAGTATAGCGGAACTTAATGTCCGCTTCGTCTATCACATCGAAGGCTCTGAAAAAGTTTAATATTTCAATTTCTCAGATTTAAAATTATGTCCTTTTTTTCTATTTTTCAGAATAAAGAACCCTTACCTAACCGACTGGGTGTGAAGGACTACTCCGGTTTCCGTTGGGAAGAATATTTCCTTAATTTTGGCGTAGACCCCTCTCTGTTTTGACGAACCCCCTGGTAACGTGTTAAGGGTGCAGTCCCATTTCGGACTGCCCATCACCACCTGACCTTTCTTCCAGCTTCTCCCAATCCCTTTGTGTTCCACGGCGATTAAAATCTTTTGATCCTGACATATCACTCTCTGAAGACGAAGGTAAGTCGTATTTTATTTACGTAATTTGAAGTGATTTCTTTTCACTTTCCTTTTTATCATCATTTAAAAATTATAAGATTTTAACTATACTAGTATATCATTTACTGCATGCTGATATTAAAGTGATAGAATTTTTTTGGTTGAACGAGTCACTCCTTTGACTATAATGCACTTTTTACAGTTTCTGTTAATCTAACTCACTACATGAATCGATAAAGAAAATTAAGCCATGGCATGCAAATTCATCGTATTTAATTCCAAATTAAGATTTTTTTTCAGTATGCTTTAAAAATATTAATTGTCGCTTTATACACCTATGAGAATATTATCTAATTAAATTACCTTGATTCCAGACACCCTGTCCAAGTCTATGGTTTCGCTCAGGCGGCCCTTACTTCTAAGCTTGACATGCTCCCCACTCTCTGGATGCTTGACATCAACATCGTGATCAAAGTGGTGGCTCTGAAGCCCCGCTATCAGAGGCAACAGAGCAAGTCCCAGTACTGCGCCTCTCATCTCACTAAAGCCCCTCGTAACTATGCCCCTATATCAGTATTACCGATAGTTTCTAGACAGCCTCGCGGAGGAATATCTGAGTGACGGTTATAAGGGTCCACCCTCAAATCTTCTTTATCTATTGATTTTTTTACTTCAGAATGAGGATTTTAAATCTTGAAATGTGGATAAAGTCTGTACTTTGTTTCTTTAGTATTCAGTGCACGTGTTTATTGATTTCAAACAAGGAAGAGAATATACATCACTGATAAACTTGTCTTATTTGACTTATTTAAATGCCTTTAGATATACAAGTATTGTCTATCGAAAATTTCTACATTAAACACTTTTCAGTATATTGCGTTTTGTGTTTTTCTTTTAATTTTTTTTTTTAATTTCATTTTCATAATCATTTCCTTATTTGATAGTTTACCACTTGTCACTTCAAGTTGCATTAAAAAAACATGTTTTAATCATTTTTAATTAAACTCTTGACGATGTAAGCAAAGACAAGATGCCCATGAGTCACAACGCTCACCTGAGCAACTTCCACATAAGGTTCAACTTTACTGACCCAGCAGTTCTGGAGTAGGAGATTTTTCAATCACCCCACCTTGTTTTTGTCTTTTTTTTATTATCTCCCCTTGAAAGGGGGCATGATCCTTCATTTTAAGAATTTAAACTTCACTTCAACTATGGAAGCTTTGTAGCAATTGGCCCTGTGATTCTTGAAAAGTTGAAAATTTGAAAAGTCTAAAGGCAATGGACGAGGGGTGTTCTAAAAACTCACTTGAGCTTTCAGTTCAGATGAGTTAAAACTATATATGTACTAGAATATCTTGTAGGTACATAAACTGAAGAATAAGTCTGCTCCCAAACATTTAAGAAGAGAGATGAATAAATTGACATGCTTTTCAAAAACTCAAAAGAAAACCAATCGGTTTCTCACTTTTGGTCTTGAAGGGAGTTGTTATCTAGCACACCATGGACTCCAGAAGGAAGTATAAAACTTAACAGTGACGTTATACACAAAACTTAGAGACTATCTTTGCCTTTGGCCTTTTAATCCTGATGTAGGTATGTTACCTTTAAAAACTATAAATCTCTGTACCTGTAGCCAGTATGAGACTGAAGCGACAAATAAAAGTCTTCAGATCTTGTTCATTAATTAACCGACACCTATCAAAGTCTTTAGCCCTATGACTATCCTGAACATGGTAGGCTTCCTTCTTTTATGATTCTGAAGCAAGTACCAGTTCAAGACTGAAAAGTTAATCAGTATTCTAAGACCCCCTGTAAATACAGTGACATAAACCTTGATCTGTTGTCAAAAAATATTCCTGATTCTCTTGTCAACTTTTGACCACTTCTTTTAGACTAAAAGGTCAAATAGAGCTCCACATAATCAAGGGCTGGGGTCTAATCACTAACCACTTCTCTACAAAGCCGGAGACTAAATTTTTGGGAATAGACATTCCATTATCTTGAGTCTGACAGACTGACAAGCATGTATACAGTGATTAATTTATTGGAATCGAAATAAGAATTTAACAAAGCACAACATTTGTAAACTTTATTTTCTAATTATAAATAAGCAGTAGATGATCATTGTTAATTTTCCTATTAATTCATCATTCAACTGAATTTTATCCTTCCTGCTGATTTAGCTTTGCTCTTTCCTTTGCGAGTTTCCTTTCTAAATATCTCTTTCTTGCTTCACTTGCTGCAGAGTCTGTAGTTTTCTTTGACACTACCCCTGACTTCTTTATTTCTGTGCTTTCTGGTTTATCCTCTGACTTTTTCTCCATTTTTGTTTCCGTTTCTGGAGACTTTTTCCTCTCTTCCTTTCTAGTGTTTTTATCTCTATCGTGCCTATCCTCCTCTCTGGATCTAGACCGATTCCCTCTTACCCTATCAGGACCCTCACTTTCCGAATCACTTTCGTTTCTATGTCTCTGTTTGTCCCTTCTGGCTTGTTTTTCATGAGAACTTTCTTTCTTTCTATTGTCTCTATCAGAGGCGTTCTTTCTGCTGAGTTTAGGTGAATCAGGGGAATGTCTTCGTTTTCTATGCCTATCTTTTGATTCAGTTTTCTCTCTCACTCTCTGTCTTTCCCTTGAATCATCAGATGAATCCCTGCTCTTCCTTCCTCTGTCACGCGATGAAGATCTCCTTCCTCTGTCACGTGATGAAGATCTCCTTCCTCTGTCACGTGATGAAGATCTCCTTCCTCTGTCAGTTGATGAAGATCTGTTTCTTTCTTTTGAGGATTGTCTTTCTTTAGATATGTCTGGTCCTGATCTGGTTTTCTCCCCTTGGCCACCAGAACTGGACTGGTTGGGACTATCTGGTTCTTCTCTGCAAGAGAGTACTAATCCTTTTACTCAATCATTTGATTTCAGGGGAAAAAATTCTCTTTATGTGTTTGATGGTGCCATTACAAATCATCCATAATAAAAACTTTTTTTGAATTAATACTTTTGTTTTGTTACATCTCTACATAAACTTAACAATGCACCTGTTCATCCTATACATGTATCTCTCTTTAAAACCAAAGGAACATACAGTTCATATTGCAACATACTAATAATAAGAAATGCTTTACTTTCATATTCAGATCTTATTTAACTTTAATTCCTATGTCACTAAGAGCATTGTTACTTTGTAATGACCTTTCTCTTACAACATCTACTTTGCATGAACCTTTGCCTTTACTAACATCTTCTTCACATGGATCATTGTTTTTACCAATATCTAATCTGCAAACACCTTTGCTTTTACCAATATCTACATTACACAGATGTTTGCTTTTGCTTTCACATTATATCTACTTTACAGTGACCTTTGCTTTTACCATATGTACTTTGCAATGCCCTTTTCTTTTACATTATACTAGTAACTACTTTGCAGTGACCTTGGCTTTTACCATATCTACTTTTTAAGGACTTTGCCATTACTAATACACTACATCTACTTAGCAGGGAGTTTGCTTTTTCTTAAACATAATATCTACTCCACAGAAATCTTTGCTTTTACTAATAATTATTTCCTAAGGTACTTTTAATTATTTTCCAATATCTACTTTGCAGAGACCTTTGTTTTTACTATTCATGTAATTTGAAATTTGAATGTCTCCTCACTTGAACTGTGTAGAGGATTGTTTCTACCAATAACTGCACCGATATCTTCTATACAAAGGCCTTTGTTTATACCAATATCTACTTCATTGAGACCCTAGCTTTTACTGGTATCTACCTCTATTGTTTTACTGATATCTACCTCTATTGTTTTACTGATATCTACCTCCATTGTTTTACTGATATCTACCTCTATTGTTTTACTGATATCTACCTCTATTGTTTTACTGATATCTACCTCCATTGTTTTACCTATATCTACCTCTATTGTTTTACTGATATTTACCTCCATTGTTTTACTGATATCTACCTCCATTGTATTACTGATATCTACCTCTATTGTTTTACTGATACCTACTTCACAGAGACTTCCTTTGTTTTGTCTTCTACGGTAGCTCCACCACTTTGTTGATTCAACATATAACGGTAAAAGCCACTCATGTCCTTCTGTTTCTTGACATCTAGTAAATCTGCAATACAAAGTTTAAATATAAGGAATTCAATCAGTGCTATGATGGACATTCAATGACACTTCCTATGAATTGTGAAACTAGTGACACAAAAAATTATAGCTCTATAAACAAGAGGCCCATGGGCCACATCGCTCACCTGAGCACTAAGGGTAGGAAATAGTAGAAAATGGCTTTCTATTGTAAAGTTTAAATCCAAAAGTAGTCCCATGACAAATCATGGATTTGCTATTTTTAGAAAATGATTTTTAAAGAATTTTCCTATATATATCTTTAAAAACTTTGGTCAGCCATTTTGACCCCGCCCTACCCCATGGGGTCATGATTTGAACAAAATTGAATCTACACTACTTGAGCATGCTTCCATAAAAATATGATGAATTATGGCTTTGTCATTCTTGAGAAGAAGATGTTTAAAGATATTTCCTCTTTCTATGTAAAACTTTGTCAGCCATTTTGGCCCCGCCCTACCCCTAGGGGTCATGATTTGAAGAAACTTGAATCTACACTACCTGAGCATGCTCCCATATAAATTTGATGAATTATGGCTTTGTCATTCTTGAGA